GGCTCCGGGCGAAGCAGCATCATGGGATGGTGAAATCCTGGGAGCCATCCACGTTAGGGTTTAGGGTTTAGGGTTTAGGGTTTAGGGTAGGGTTTAGGGTTTAGGGTTTAGGATCTAGGGTGCTTGAGTTAATGGTTGTAATTCCAACGTCACGGAAACCGCGCTGCATGACTGGAGTCAAGCAGAAGGGAGCGCGGGATATCAGAGCCCGTGATGCTTACTGGATTTTGGTGCATGGGGTTCTGGCGATTCGCCAGGTTCTCGCTTGAGATCCGGATCTGGCGCTTGCGGTAAGCATTGCCAAGTTTTTTGCGCAGGTGTTTGCCTCTGCAGCCTTCCTTTCTGGCCTGAGCCAGGGCGGTAACTGCCCACGGCCACGACCCCTTTTGCCATGGCCTTTGCCATCATCATGATGGCCATGAGGCCGCATACTGAGAGAACATGCTCATCACCCACACTCCTTTCCATCCACTTCCGAAAAGATGCTAAGCCGCAAGCCTAATCCCTACACCCCATATCATCTTCCCTACGCCCCCCCAAAACAGCTAAACCCTAAATCTTAACAATCCAACTAGCCTCCACTCTTTCGCCCACATCTCGAAAGTCCCTAGACCCTACCTAAACCCCAGAAAGTATTTAGAACAGCGTGGTGAGCTAAAGCATGGTGGCCGAATCCGCCCTTTAGCTGGCTCATGCCTGCGTCATGTAAAGGTTCCCCCGTAGAGGTGTGTCTTTCAATTTTGAAGGATTTGGTCTATACATCTACCTACATTTAGTGGTCCAGGTAAGTCCAAAACCCAAAGCACATTTAAACCAAGCTTTGCTAGCTGGAGCTGTGGGTGAGGGCCCAAAGCCTGCCCTTGGTTTAGGGGTTAGGGTTTTGTTTATTGGGTTTAGGGCTTAGGGTTTGGGATTCTGGGTTTAGGTTACCTTAAACCCTTAACCCTATAGGGCTTAGGGTTCTGGGTTTAGGGCTTAAGGGTTAGCATCTAGCCCAAAGCAGGACTTGTAATGGACTCTAGCCTTCCACCTCGGTATGTAGTATTGCTAAATAATGATCACCATGGGTAGATAAGGTGGTTTCCCAAAATCACTCTAAACCCTAAATCCTAAACCCCAACCCTAAACCCCAAACCTTAAACCCTAAACCCCAAATGCTACGATCTTCAACTCGTAGGCCACCCCCCCCATAAAACACGAGACTCGAAGGCTTCAACCGCATATGCCTACGGCTAAGGGTTCAAGGACCCAAATCATAGGGTTTTAGGGTTAAAGGTTTAGGATTTAGGGTTTTGGGTTTAAGGCTCCAACGACCCAAATGACAAGAGCATCAGGGCCCAAATACCATTAATACTCTAGTATATGGGCCCTAAAGCCCTATTATTTGGGTCCCTGGACCCTCAGGGTGTGGCACATCTTGGAATCCTTTACCTTGGCTCCCTGAAACGCGTTGAGCTACAATGTTCCTTAGGTTTAGGATTTAAGGTTTAGGGTCTAGGGTTTAGGGTCTTGTGGGGGGGGGCGGTGATTCAAGGGCGGTATGTCACCTGGTCTTCCACTTTACTCTCTATCCCTAGAGGCTCCCAAACGGCTCCCAGTACCCACCCCCTTTGGAGCCAGCAGCACATGAGCTATAGTCTAAACGCCTACTTGGAGGCCCATGGAACTTAGTAACTACATATAACTGGGATTATAACCCTGTTTATACTTGGGGTAACCCCTATAAGCCCATTTAGGGGGATTATAAGTAGAGGGTTATAATCCCAGTTATCAGTGGTTACTAAGTTCCATGTGCCTCCAAGTAGTATCCCCCTCAATAACCCCTATAGTTGTCCCCTGTAAAATCCCTAAAGAACACCCTTTAAGGAGTTTAGACTATGGCTCACATGTGGACAAGGCACTTGAGGCTTCAAGGAATTTGCAGCCTGCGACCCAACGGCTAGGCTCTAACCCTGAAAGGTAAGCCAGCCCCAAACCCCAAAATGCCATGATGTAGACCCGTGATTAAAGAAACCCCCTCCCTTCAAAAGCCTTAATCTTAGGATACCTGTTATAATCTCTATTAAGAAGAGGGGTTTTATTGATAAGGGGTCTACATTACATGCCTCTCTGAGTAGAAGACTACCTGGTTAGGGCTATACGGTCTATAGATAATCAATACCTTGGGGCCAAAACCTTGGGCCCTAAAACCCTGCATCCCAAACCCAACCCCAACATGCCAGCCCGCTACTATGGAATTACGCCTCGCACCTGACCGCGCGTGCTCAGCGCGTGATGTCCGCACCTCGGAGAGGGTCCAAACATTGAGTGGAGGGTGTGGATGTTGGGACCCTAAACCCTACATGCACCTAAACCCTAAACCCAAAAACCCTAAACCCTAAACCCCAAAACCAAAACCAAAACCCCTAAAACCCTAAACCCTACTAAAAACCCAACCCTAACCCCCGTAGGATGCTGGCTTACCAGCCGTTCTTGAAGTAGTCCTAAAGACCCGGACGCTGAGTTCTGCCCCCGATACATGGTAATTTCCAAGAGTGAGGGGACGCCAATATAGACCCCACACACTATATTCCTCATATTCCCCCCCAAAAAAGAATCCCTAAACTGTGGCAACCACGTATCCCTGAATCCAAACCCTCGAGTTCCACGTTAAACCTTAAAACCTAAATTACTAAACCCTAAAACCCTAAACCCTAAAATCAGAAACCCTAAAACCCACAACCCTAAAGCCTAAATCCAGCCTCGACAGATACGCAGCAATGGCCACCTCCGCTGCCCTTTCGGCGAAATCGCTGCTCGCCCAGGAAGCCTCGGAAGGGGCTTAGGGGGTAGGGGTTGAAGGGGTTTAGGAGGTAGAAAAAGCTTTCAATCATCACTTCAGCTTTTCAGGAATGAACCGTGTGTTGTAGGCCTTAGGATTGAGGCTATGGGCTTTTTTGAGGTCCACCTTAGACTGGCAAAATGCCGCAAGAAAGGAATATACCCAAAACAAACAAGAATTAAAGCCTAATGCCATTTAAGATACATTCCTTCATTAAGGGAAAGTAGGAAATGCTTCAGAATTATGATATGGGGTGTACCCAAGGTATCCTGGACCTCTTAAAAAGATCAAGATACCAACAATTCGGTGCAACGTCAGGTTTTTAAGGTACATACTTTACTCCAAGTACAGTTCAAGTTTACTCAAAGGCTCCTATGTAGTTCCTCTTTGGGTTGATTCTTGCTTTGGTAAGGGATTATAATATACTAGCCAAACAGGAACTACCTGGGATCTTCTGGGTAGGATGAGTTGAGGTTAAGGAGCCAAATATTGTTTTAACAATGATTTTCCTTGGCACAAGGCCTATCCCAGGCACGTTCAAGTT